CGGCTGTGCCACCCCCGCCATATGGGGGACTGTCGGCGGAGGCCTGGGGCCAGCCCGGGTGAGCTCCCGCGCCGCCCGCGTGGTTGCTGGGCCCGCTTCCCGCTCCCTGCAGGTATGGCAGGCCGGGCAGCATGGAACCCACTCGCGTGGTAGGGACGTAGACCGGAGAGCTGGCCGCAGCCGCCGCCGCCGCCGCGGCAGCCGCAGAATGCACAAATCCGCCGGGCGCGCCGTCGTAAGCGGCCGGCCCCTGGCTGGACAGGGCGGCGAGGGTCTGGTACATTTCCTCGGGTTGTTCGGTCGCGAAGGGGCTCAGCTTGGCGCCCCGACTGGACCACAGCAGCTTGCTGGCTGTAGCGGCCTGGTCGAGGTCAGTAAAGAGCAACAAGTCCTCCCAACTCGACAGGGCGTTCCCGGGGCCAGGGACCCCGGGCGCCGAAGGTCCGTGGGCAGCCGCGAAGGGGTGCGAGGCGTAGGGGCTGAGCAACAACGAGCGGCCCGGAGGTCCCGCCACCGCCTCGGTGTCGAGCTGCGGCGTCCGGCAGTTGCTGGCGCCGCAGGGACCGCGATCCCCGCCCCGGGAGCAGGAGGAGGACGAGGAAGAGTTCGGGGATAGCGGGGAGGAGGGCTCCCGCGCTGGAAAGGCCCCAGAGTCGCCGGCGTCCGCAGCAGCGGCCCCGAAACGCTTTGGCAGGCACCAGCCGCCGTCAGTCAAGGCCATCCACTGTCCGGCGCTGCTCCAATCTGACTTTTGGTTCCTGGGGTGGGATTGAGGAACAAGACAGGAAGACTATAGATAAAGTGGGTTTACCAAAAGCGTTGACAGTCTACCAACACGCTTCACTCCCTCTCCCAGCTTAGGGCATCCCCCCCCCCCCCCCGCCTTAAGGATCCTGTGTCTGCCCCGTGTTTGAGGGGGTTAGAAAACGGGAAACGAAATCTGCGTAGCAGCCACAGGGTTCTCGAAGACCAATGTGTTCTCCTCCGTCACCCAGGACGCGTGTCCCCGCGCCCTCCCAGCCCACCACTCGATAGCATCCTTCCTCTGCAAGGCGCGCCACATCCCGGGAGTGACCACGAAGTTGACTGAGGTTTTTCTTCTGCCCCACCTTAGCAATAACTCTTGACACGAAAAAATTTCATGTGTGCCAATACTGTCTTATCCTGCCTCCTGGTAGGTGACCCTCTCCTAGGACGCCTCTGTGAAAGAGTTTCGCGCATGAAAATAGCTAGCGAAGGCAACCTGTCCCCGAAAACGAAACCGCCGCTTTTTCTCAGAGCTTCCCGGACCTCGCTAACCAAATCCAAGGCGAGCTCTAGAAAAAGCCACCAGTCCAGAGAACGTGGGACGCCAAGGCACACGCAGGAGCCCGGAAAGTAGTGTGGGAAACCCACCCGCGTCCAAGCCTACAGACCGCACACCTTGGACACGGACCGCGTCACTACCGCCAGCCCGAGCACTCACTCCGGCCAGGCCACCCCCGGCCCACCCCGTGGTCAACCAGAGGGGAAAAGCCAGATTGTTCCGGAATTGGACATAGCGGGGTGGAGCAGAGCGCAGAGAAAAGGAGGGGGGAAACACAGGAGGGGAGTGGGTGAGACCGCCCCAAACCCGAGGCCACCCCTAAGGGGAGAGCAGGAAGAATGACAGGGAGACTTGAAGGGGGTGGGAAGCCAGGACGGCCTCTACCCGGCTGCTTTTCCAAATCACTTCGGCTCATCGGAGATAACCACACTAAAATTAATGCCCACGCACAGACTCGGGCATAGCAAGAAAGAAGTTTCTCTGCCCAATGGACTACGGGCTCCCGCCCCTTGGCGCTGAGATAACTCGGAGATAAGGCTGCGGGCAGATAAGCACTGGGGGGGGGGGGTGCCTGGTCCGCAGTATCCCAGGAACCTGGGAGTCCCCGCAATCCTCCGGGAGTCAAGGAGGGGAACACCCTCGGAGGCGATCACGGCCGGAGAAAGGCCGGGAGTGCTGGAGGCCCTAGGGCCTGGGACTGGTGGGGTTGGAAGGAAGAGGGGGCAAACAAAAGGGGAAGCAGCCGAACCTCGGGCGAGCGACTTGCGTGAAGAACGGCAGCGGCGGAGGGTGCTCCCGAGCGCGGCGGAGTGACGCTGAGGGCGCTGGCGGGAGAGCGCGAGTCCGGGGTCTGCGAGTGGTTGCTGGCGAATAAAAAGGAGAGAGGAGGCGCCTCTTACTGCTCTGCCGGAAAACTGCAGCCTGCGTTCCTGATTGGACTCACCGAGCCCTAAACAAACAGCGCTCACCGAAGGGTGCCAGGCTGTGTGTGGGTCGGCTCTGCTCTCCCTGAGCTGCAGGGTGTGGAGGTGAAGAGGGGGGGAGGAGGAACGGGGAGGGGAGGAGAAAAAAGCGGGTGGGGAGGGGACGGGGAGGAGGAGGGGAGTGCGCAGCCCTAGCAGACAATAAGTGCTAGGCAGCCTGCGGGCGTGGACTGAGCAACTAGCCCTGTCCCCAGAGCGGGGCGAGTCCATCAAGGGGGCGCCCAGCTCGGGGACACCAGCGGGTGGTGGAGGCAACTGCACGCCGAACTTGGCCGGTGACCCATATTCATTCAGCGGTGGAACACATCCTCGGGTCCCCAGTTTTACACACACACACACACACACACACACGGGTCACACCCGGGGCTGAAGGGGGAGGAAAACTAGGCATGGGAGGAGCTGGGTCTTTGTAGCCCCTCACTGACCGCTGCTGCTAACAGGCGCGCCACCTCCTAGGTCAGCGCGCCCCTAAAGTCAGTGGGGAAAATGCCCAACTGGCCTTCCTATCTCCCCAACTCCACTTCCAAATTAAACCCCTCCTCCCCGCGCGCAGTTGCTAGTGACCAACCTTAAACTTTTCCGACCTTATTTCGGGATGCTCATGTAGTGGGGATCCTTTGGGATTCAGGGTGTCATCTGGGAAAGGTGACCTTGTGCACACTCCTACCTCGTCCCTGCTCTTAAAACATACACTAAATTCTTGGGAGGTTTTGTAGAGTTCAGGACGACATTCCCCAGCTAACCTCTGGGTCGTGGTGCCCCGAAAGGTTAAATCTACGAGGTGCCGGGACCGCCGTGGGATGAAAACACTGTCGTGTCCAGGGACACCAGTGCGGTTGTCGCGTTCGCTCTGAGTTTTCCCTGGACTTCAGATTACTCAAAGACAACACGTTGGGTAGGAGCAGGGTACCTTCCTGGGACCCAGAGAGAAACACCGTTTCTCCACCCCCAAGTCTCTCTCTGTACACACACCCCTTAGTAGCTACCTCCAAACGGTTATCACAGCTGTGTACAAACTGATACGGCCCTTAGCGGGCCAAGGACTGGAAACGAACCACTGGCGGGGTTATCAGTGTGGATCTGTCAGCAGCGAGTCACGCACTGTTCGTCCCCAGGCAGCAGCCGTGATAAAGGTCTTGTTCCTTCGGGCTCACAGAAAGGATTTCTTCCGACAAGCTGGACACTGGAAGATTGTGGAAAGGGAATTGGACAGGAGGAGCTCCCTTATGGAAATGGATTTTTACACACACTCACAAAAAGGATTTCTTTCGACAAGCTGGACACTGGAAGATTGTGGAAAGGGAATTGGACAGAATATGGAAATGGATTTTTACACACACACACCCCAGGTAAATCAAAGTAAACACTTTCTATAGATCTTTCTGAAAGCATTTGAACTGTTTTGTTTTTTGACGTTTTAGTTTCGTTTGATATTGATTTTCGTTATTTTTCCAGTTAGAGGAAGGAGAGGGGTCCAAGCAGAGCTGAACATCGAGTCCTGGGTACGCTGTAAAATACGATTTCCAGAGGGTGTGAGACCTCGCTGGAAAGGAGTTCTTTCCTTGAACTGAACCTGTGCGCTAGCAGAGAAGGGTCAGGGTCAGAACTTGCTGGGGGGGGGGGGGGAGAAGACCTAATTCAGGAAGTTAACGAGAATTTTGCGTTTTCATTTCTCACTGAACATTTCGGCCAAACACTTCCGAATTTTAAATCTGCTACCGACCGTTCTAGTCTAACTGCGTCACTTTTTGCCTCCCCCACCCACCCCAACTCCCCGTCACTGGGACTAAAAGACTGAAAGATAGAAAACTCTGGAATGGAGACGCTAGCGGCTGGACTAGGACTCGGAGGTTTTGAATGTTAACCCACACGGGGTCGAAAGAGACTGGCACGGGCCGGCCCAAATCCCACTGCAGGTTTCAGCGGCTTGCTTTGGGTTGTTCGGTAAGTTCTGACCAAATTTTAAAGCGGACTGGATTCTGCTCATTTGTAAGCTATTCATTAACTCTGGACATCCTTTCTCCTTTGAGTTCAACTGTTCAGAAATAATGTCTCAAGTTTGCTCTTACAAGCAATTTTTACAATTCAGTTTTGCTAAAAAATAATGATTTATCTAAGTAAATTTGGCGTCCTGGCTGTGAACGGCCTTCAGGGTTGAGTGAGACCGAGTCACGGCGCAAGCTTGATTCTTGTCCCGGGTTTTATTTTATTTTATGTTTTTATTTGAAAGTTCGGGGTTACCCTGCGTAAATTTCCTAGTACAATAGTAACCCCCACACACACTGATCTGCTTTCCGGAAAGCCGCTAGGCAGCTGAGCCTAGGGAGCACACTGCCCCTGGCGCCTCTGGGACAGAGGTGAAGGGCCCGAACCATATTGACAGATTCGACAACGTTCGGGTTCTAGGGGCTAGGGAACGTACCCACAATTCTATCTTCCACATTTCCAAACATTTTGGTGGTGTCCCCAAACAAAGGAGGAAGATAGATCATTGTTTTTCCTCTCATGGCCACAAAAGTCACAAGAAAG